TTCCTCCTCTTCTCCTCCTCCTCCTCCTTCTGCTCCTCCTCCTATTCCTCCTATTCCTCCTCCTCCTCCTCCTCCTCCTCCTCCTCCTCCTCCTCCTCCTCCTCCTCCTTCTGCACTGGTCGACGCCGACCCTGGCCACGGTCCAGTGTCGCCGACTCGCGAGGTCGATCCACGCATCGGCGCCGACCAGGGCGGACGGTAATCAGGCTCCCCTCAGATCCTGGCGTCGCAATTTTTTCCACGACGGGCGTTTTCGCTCGATTTCAGGCCCCCTGTGACCCTCACAGATCGATCCGACTCGAACAAAAATTGCGCAGAAAGCAAGGGCCGGGGGCTCTGGTCGTAATTTTTCCGACGTTGCAATGCTTGCAGCGTCGGATCTCAGGGTCCGAGCCTCCCGAGAGCTCTGAGATCCGAAGTTGCGAAAAGTTGAAGCATCGCAGGACTGCACGACTGGAGCCTTAGAGGCCCCGCCTTGCTGCCGCATTTTTTTCGAGCCAGATTGATCCGCGTGGCGGCCCCGGGGCTCGACAAGCCGGGCACCGACGCCTGGCGTGAAAAGGTTCCAACACGCCCAGATCTCAGGGAAAGGTTGCCCCCGCTCTGCATCGCCCTAGGTCAAGTCGGGCGTGTCCTTCTACAGGGGGAGTATCTTCAAGAATGATAAAGAAACAGTCTAGTGACCGTTGGCTATCTTTCTTATCTTTTTTCCAAAGTCCACCTGCAGGAGGACGTGTAGGAAGTTGCAGCGCCCAGATCGCAGGGAAGGCTTGCCCCGTCTTCGAGCAGGGGGTCGGACTGCAGTCGGTATCGTTTCACCAATCCCCATCCCCATCCTCATCCCCTTCGAGACCCCCACCAAGTTACCACCCCAGTTGGGGATACACCCCTCGAAACCCGAAGGGAACGGCCTTTATCCCCGTCTAGGGGGTAAATCGGCCAGTGGGGCCCAGGCCACGCCGCTGGGGATGGGGATCGGTTAAACGATACTCATGCAAGATCGATGTACCCCTAACCTCGATTTCCACGTCGAGTCTTCAACACGAGCACGTAGCACGTTCGCAGATCTACCAGCGTTCTGCGACTTCTTCCGTGGACTCGACGAACAAAAGTCATGATTTCCACGTCGATTTTTCAACACAAACACACGTAGAACGTTCGCAGAAACACGCGCGTTCTGCGACTCTTCCCCGTGGGCGCGACGAGAAAGCTCCAGTCTGGGGCAACTCGATCCTGTCGTCTCTCCCCCACTCGACCTCCGCATTCCCCCCCCGTGGGTGTCGCCGCCGGCAGGCAGCTGCAGCGCCTGCTGCGCGCCAGCTGGGCCCTGGAGGCGCACCTCGCTGCACGCCAGGCCCCGAGCGGCGAGCCGCTGCTCGCGGTGCTGCCGGGCCCCCTCGGGTACCGCCTGCTGGACCTCGCGGAGGGGCTGGGCCCTGGGCAGAGGAGCGGAAGCTCCTCCTCCTCCTCATCCTGCTCCTCCTCCTCCTCGTTCTCCTCCTCTCTGCTCCTCCTCCTCGTCCTCCTCCTCTCTGCTCCTCCTCCTCCTCCTCCTCCTTCTCCTCCTCCTCCTCCTCCTCCTCCTCCTCTTCCTCCTCCTGTTCCTGTTCCTCCTCCTCTTCCTCCTCCTCCTCCCTCCTCCTCCCCCTCCTCCTCCTGCTGCTCCTCCTCCTCCTCCTTTTCCTCCTCCTGCTGCTCCTCCTCCTCCTCCTCCTCCTCCTCCCTCCTCCTCCTCCTCCTCCTCCTCCCTCCTCCTCCTCCTCCTCAACCTCCTCCTCCTCCTCCTCCTCCTCCTCTCCTCCTCCTCCCCCTCCTCCCCCTCCTCCTCCTCCTCCTCCTCTTCCTCCTCCTCCTCCTCCTCCTCTGGCATGTACAGTCAACCCGCACGGTAAGGATGAGCGACTTTCGAAAGGCTACCCTTGCATCCTCCACCATTGGCCCATGCTTTGTCGGCTTCGATGGCCGCGCCCCGCTCGCAACGCGTCGACGTGGCCTTCCGAGGCCCTTGCGCCCTTATCGTGTGCCCCTCTCATAGGGGTCTAGTGCGCCTGGCGACTCCATTCTTCGGAGCCCCGCGGGCTTCTGAGAAGCCCCGCCGCCTTCCGAGAGCAGGCCTGCCCACTCTCGCTTCCCCCGTGAGTGCGCCGCCGAGGGCGGGGAAGGACACGGGGACCACGCCCAAGGCCCAGACCTCTGCTGAGAGATTCCTGCGACTCCACTGTTTGGAGCTGGCCGTCGGCGCCTGGCCCTTCGGGTCCCCGGGGGCCCTCACAGATCGACGCGGTTCGAAAGACGACGCAGAAAGAGGGAGACTAGGGATCTGGTCGTGATTTTCCACGATGTTGCAATTGTTTCGCTACGCTTAGGTCGGACATGTCTCCCACATGCGGATCTTGGACGAGACATAAAATATAGTTATCAAAAGCTAGAAAGTAGGCAAAGATGGTAAAGTAATTGTCACCAGGCTTTTTTGGGGGCAGTTTTTGAATATTTCTCCTGTAGATGGACAGGCCCGACTTAACGCTACGCAGGCTATGCCCAGACGTGCTCGCGTCGTCGAACAAAATCGCGACGGGCGGATGTTGGCCATGTGCGCGGTATCCGGAGTCCCTCGCCAGACCAAGGGGGAACGTCAAAGCAACGGCTCGGGTTGAAGAGTCAATGCTGGGCGAGTGTCTATCAATGTAGCTATTACCTTCGTCAAAAGTAACCTCAATAATGGCGAACGCGCCCCTGCGATGTCGGCGCGCCCTTCAATGTCGGTAGACGCCCCTCCACTCCAATGTCGGGGCCAGGGCAAAGGTTGTCTGACCGGGAACGACTCGGAAGTTCGATGACGACCGACATTGGAGGGGCGGCGCATACAAATACCTCGCAGTCATTGCTACTCTGTCCATTATCTCCCCACAAACAGTTCAAACATTTAAGACATGTTTGAAGTTAATTTTGACGAGGATTGCATTAGCGCCTGTCAGCGCCTACTGGCGAAGGAAGTGATGTGTCTGAGTCTGCATACGAGTGAGTCTAAGTGAGTCTGGGTATGAGTTGGTCTGAGTATGAGTGAGTATGAGTGTGAGTGTGAGCCAGTCTGAGTGTGATGAGTGAGTGTGAGTGCGAGTGTTAGGAAGATGAGAATAATGCAGGTTGGGAAGGAGGGACGAAGAGTCGACGCGGTCTGAGGAAAAGCAAGAGATCCATTTTAAGATATCGGGAATAATCATGACGGGCGGATGTTGGCCATGCTTGGCCTCTGGGTTACGTGTATTGTGTGGGAGAAAGAGAGAGAGAGAGAGAGAGAGAGAGAGTGATTTTTTAACAGGCGCCTTCCGATTAGCGCTCATTATGGTCTATCAATGTTTCTATGAGTGCCTATTAGCGAGTATTAACGCCTACTGGCGCCTATTGGTGTCCATTAGCGCCTTTTAGCTCCTATGAGCGACCACCAGTAAACAGTAGTGTACGTTCGTTAACAGCCAGGGAAGACAGCAGCTCATGCTCAAAATGACTCTCTCACATAACTCACCTAATCTGGGGGCCCTTACCCGACCCTGGGACCGTCCACACAACTGCTCGGGATGAAGAACCAGTGCCGGGCAGAGGGCCGGGACTTCTGGGGACCGCACAAGCCGCCGCCATCGCATCGCACGCAGCGGCCGGCGACCGGGGTCTGGGCGCGTCTGGGCTTCCCCAAGGGTCCCCTTTGCCCAGGGTCGCTCTTGCGTCGCCTGGCGTCCTGCCCAGATGAGCACCCTCGACACGCCCCCCTCCCGTCCGCGGGGGGGCGGCAGGGCGGGCCAGATCACGAGGGCGCAAGGGGGCGGCAGGCCCGCGCCCGCTGGAGAGCGAGAAGCGGAGAGGACGCTCCTGCGGGAAGCCGGCCCAGACGCGCGATGTCCTGATTCTTTCAGTGTGCCCCCAGAAGTCCCGGCCTTCTGCCCGGCACTGGTTCTTCATCCCGAGCAGTTGTGTGGACGGTCCCAGGGTCGGGTAAGGGCCCCCAGATTAGGTGAGTTATGTGAGAGAGTCATTTTGAGCATGAGCTGCTGTCTTCCCTGGCTGTTAACGAACGTACACTACTGTTTACTGGTGGTCGCTCATAGGAGCTAATAGGCCGCAGGAAGCGCTAGGAAGCTCCAGGGAGTTCCCAGGAAGCTCCGAGTTTCCCCAATCAGCTCCAGGAGGCCCCAGGAAGCTCCCGGGAGGCCTTGCGAGCCCCCAGGCAGCTTTGGGATCTCCCAGGAAGATTCAGGGAGCCCCAGGAAGCCACAGCAAGCTCCCAGGAGCCCCCAGGAAGCTCCAGGACGCCTTAGGAAGCTCTTGGGAGCCTTCGGACGCCTCACTGACAGGAAGCGCCAGGGAGCGCCCAGGAGCTCCCAGGAAACCCAGGGAGCTTGATGTACCAGGCGGTTTGCTTGTCTGCTTGCCCAGGCTCCCTCAGCTTTCAGAACAGACTGAGAGGGTGTCTCGGGCGAGGCGCTGGCTTCAGCACCCCAAGGGGGGCAGCCCAGAGGTATCTGACTCGCCCGCTCGCGCCCAGATTGTGGGGATGTCTCAGGCGGACTACATGTTCGGCGCCGTGGATCTGCCCCTTTCAAAGCAGACTGTAAGTAGTCTCCGCCGAGGCGCCGGTTGCAGCAACCCTATGGGAGACCCCCAGGTGCACTTGCACGGAGGAGTACGGAGGAGGAGGAGGAAGAGGAGGAGGAGGAGGCGGAGGAGGAGGAGGAGGAGGAGGAGGGAGGATGGAGGATGGAGGATGGAGGATGGAGGATGGAGGATGAGGATGTAGGAGGAGGAGGACGAGGAGGAGGAGGAGGAGGAGGAGAAGGAGGAGGAGGGAAGCCCTCGGAGGAGGATGGGGGAGGAGGAAAAGGCGGACGAAGAGGAGGAGGAGGAGGAGGAGGAGGAGGAGGAGGAGGAGGAGGAGGAGGAGGAAGAGGAAGGACGAGGGACTGGAAGAAGGAGGCTTAGCCAGGGCGGCGCGTCCACTCCCGGCCTCAGAGCTGGCACCGCGGGGATTGGCGCACGCGGATAAAGCCAGGCGTGCCAGGAAAATGAGATGCACGACGCGAGCATGCTTGGAGAGAGCGACGCGACGAGCCACACCAGGGCCTTATAATTACCCCATCTTTCTGCGGCACGTTTCGAGCCGCATCGACCTGTGATGGTCCCGGGGCCCCATACCGAGCGAAAACGCCTGGGGTGGGAAAAATTGCGACGCCAGGATCTGAGGGTAGCCTGGTCACCGTCCGCCCTGGCAGCCCTGGGCGGCGCTGGTGCGTGGATCGACCTCGCGAGTCGGCGACACTGGACCGTGGCCAGGGTGAGCGTCGACCAGTGGAGGAGGAGGAGGAGGAGGAGGAGGAGGAGGAGGAGGAGGAGGAGGAGGAGGAGGAGGATCTCAGGGCGGGTCCCCCCTCAAGCCTGGCTCTCGGGCCTATGCCTCGGGCCTCCAGCGGCCGCTCGGGACGACCCGGGCACCCCCAGAGCGCCGTCGGCGAGGCGCAGCCTGAAGTCGGGCCTGTCCCTCTACTGGAGGAATGTTCAAAAATAATCCACAAATAGTCTGGGGACGTTTTTTATTTATTATTTTGAATTGTTGCTGGGGTATTTCCTGAGTATTTTTGATTGTTCTCCCCAAATCCGCCTGTAAGGGACACGTCCGACCTAGCGCAGCCAATGGAGGGTATCCGGAGGCCAGAAAACCGCCGAGAACCCACGAGAAACGTCCGAAGACCGTCGCGTGAGTGTGGAGGCCCATGTTAAGAAGCACCCTGCTTACCTCCAGGGTGCCCTGAGTTTCTTGGGCTTCGATGGTTCTTGTCTGGACAGCGTGACGCTCCCACACCAGAAAGCAGTGGACGTCCTGGGGTCTCAGTTTTGGGCTTCTGGCGGAAGGCTTCCTGTGGTCGGGCCCCCTACTGTGGCCGAGAGGAGCCTCTTCCTGCACGGCCCCGTCGACGAGGCCGTCGAGGGCTCCTACGGGGAGCTGGCCAGCGGCCTCTCGGGCCTGGGGCGCGCGCTGCTCGCGGCGGAGCCGCTGCACTGGGCCCTGCGGCTGCTGCTGCCGCGCCGGGCCCCGCTCAGCACAGAGCTGAGCCAGCGGCGGGCGGCCGGGACGCTGCCGGCCGTCGGAGAACAAAAACCAGCATCAACATGTGATAGGCAATTTTTCAGGAGGTCCTCCCCTTCCTCCTGCTCCTCCTCCTCCTCCACCTCCTCTACCTCCTCCTCCTCTTCATCCTCCCACTCCTCCCCCGGGACGCTGCGGCCTGGACGCTGCGGCCAGCATCAACATAGTCGGCGGCGAGCCCAGGGGGAAATGCAGAGGGGGCGGGCCTTCTCAGAAGGCTCGGAGCGGCCTCGGGTCTTCGGAGAAGCTGTCTGGGCCGTCTCCGAGGCCAGGGCGCTGCCGGTTGTCCGAGAACAACAGCCGTAAACGTAAACGTAAACATAGGCATACACATAAACATAAACGAAAACATAAACATAAACATGAACACACACATACACAGAAGAAGAACAAGCGCCATACACATCAGCTTTTGGCGCTCCGCGCGGATTTCTTGGATCCGCGCTGTGCCCCCCCAGCGGCGCCTTCGGCGAGGGGCAGGTCCTGTGCGGATCCAAGAATTCCGCGCGGAGCGCCGAAAGTGCATGTTTGTGGCGCTTTTCTGGTTCCTTCTAAACCAGCATCAACATAGTCGGCAGCGAGCCCAGGGGGGATGCAGACGGTCGCTGAGCGCGTTCCACTACTCGCAAAGTGCCTGCTCGCAAACGTCTGGAAGCCGCACGTCTGCTTTTGTGTCAGATGCAGTAGATCCCCCTCGGCGGATCCAGGCCATTTGCGAGTGGCTACTTTGCGAGTTGTGGAACGCGCTCGTCCAGAGGGGGCGGGCCTTCTCAGAAGGCTCGGAAGGCCTCGGGCTTTCGGAGAAGTTGTCTGGGCCGTCTCCGAGGCCAGGGGCGCCTTCTGGAGAAGGCCTGCGGGCCTCCGAGAAGCCCCGCTGCCTTTGAGGACGTCTGCCTCTCCGTCCCGGTTTTCGTCGCTGCCGTCGCCGCCGTCGTCGTCGTCGAGTCACCCTCCTCCTCCTCCTCCTCCTCCTCCTCCTCCTCCTCCTCCTCCTCCTCTCCCTCCTCCTCCTCCTCCTCCTCCTCCTCCTCCTCCTCCTCCTCCTCCTCCCCCTCCTCCTCCCCCTGTCGCACCTCGAGGCCAGTTTTCTCCAAGGCCTCCGCGCGGACCTCCACCTCAGAGAAGCTGTGCTTAGAGGATTAGGCTCGCGTCGTGCCGATTGGCCGCGACCCCGCCGACGGCGTTCGGCGTTGAACGCCGCCAGCGGCCCAGAATCGGTCGATGTTGAACGATCTGACGTTTCGGAAACGGCCGAGAGCGTTCAAGGTGGGACGATCCCCGCGGCGTCAGGAACCAACGCCGGATGCGACCCCACGGTATTCGGGACGATCTAAGTGGATACGGAGAGAATGGGCATTGTGCCTAACAGTAGTTCCTCTTCATTTTGAGCAGGACTCGCTGTCCGCGCTGCCGCGGACCTTACGCATTCTCTGAGGACAACAAGCCGCCGGTCCAACAGCAGCCGCTGTCGGTTCTGGACAACATCTGCTGTTGGGCGTTGTGCCCCTTTTCTACGTACCCATCTCGGGCGTCCAGAGGCATGCCAGTTTTTGTTTTCCTACTACCCTCGTCAAAATTGACCTCAAAAATGGCGACCACGCCCCTGCGATGTCGGCGCGCCCTTCAATGTCGATAGGCGCCCCTCCAATGTCGGGGCCACGGCAAAAGTGGTCTGACCGAGAACGACTCGGAAGTTCGAGGAGGGGCGGCGCACACGAGTACCTCGCAGTCACCGCAACTTTGACCAGTATCTCCCCACAAACAGTTCAGCCACGGAAGATCTTTTTTAGGCAATTTTTGACGAGGGTTGTAGGCCGTGGATGACCCGCTGGCGGAGCTGGCGGTGCTGGACGCGCTGGACGGCGCAGCCCTGTGGTCGGAGGCTCGCCGCGCGTCGCCGGGCGGCGCGGCCGCGGCGTGCCCGGAGCTCGGAGGAGGCGGTCTCGAGACCGCCAGCTGCTCCTCTTGGAGAGTCCTCGTCACCGCGGCTGGATTACCCTGGGAATTCTCGCCCTCCTCCTCCTCCTGCTCCTCCTCCTCCTCCTCCTTTTCCCTCTCGCCAGAGGAGGAACAGGTAGTGATACCGCTGCCCTTCGCCCGTTTTCCCTTTTTGGGGTCTCTTGGGTGGCCTTTGTCGCCACCGCTGGATTCGCTTCGAAATCCTGGTCGGAACGCACCGCAGGAGAGGTCGGAGGGTATAGAGGTATCGCTGCCTTCTGGTCTCCCTGGAACGCACCCCAGGAGAGGTATGGGAGATGTTTTTGTATTCTCTGGCGCGCAACGGTCGTCACCTGGGCCAACCCCCCCTCCCCCACACTCCCCGGGTAACAGTAACGATCGTATAGGCGGGGGGGGGGTCATGCTGGTGCTCTCGCATACTACGGCGGTCGCAGCGCACCTCCGCCCCGACGAGCCCCACCCCGCCCACGCATTACCGCTACCCGACCCCTCCCCCCTGGGGTGACGACCGTTACCGAAAATACGCTTGGACAGCGCAGGGTTCGCCAGGGATTGGTTTCACCCCAAAGCGACTAAAACGCTTTTGAAATCCTCCCGGGAAAACCACCTGGGACACTACGGGCAGGGCATTCGGAAGGTGTCGGGAAGGTTTCGGTCGCTTTGGGGGTGGAACCAATCCCTAACGAACCCTGGACTTTCTAAGGCTAGCGGTATCGGTACCTTTCGGTTCCTTCGGTAGCAAATCATGGGAGCCTTGTATACCCTCGTAATTTTGTCTTTAGGGCGCACTCGCGTCGATTGGCGCCGGGCAATCGATGGGGCAGCGCCGATTTTTTGATCGTCGCTCAGCGTCGATTCAGCGTCGACCAGCGTCGAGTAGTGCCGACTCGCGTCGACTAGCGTCGATTCGCAAGAGCTAACAGGATGGCATGGGAGGCTCGCACAAGTTGCCATGCCACCGATTGTTCCCCCAGGAGCTGGCGTCCCAGAATCCGGAGCGCCGCGGCGCTGCCGAGGGGGCCGTGCTCGCCTGGGTGCTGGGAGCCGCGCCGGGCAGCGCGCCCGTGGAGTCAGCGGCGGAACGGCTGCGGGGCCTCCAGGCCGGACGGGGATGGGCGGGGAGGCGGAGGAGCGAGGAGCAGGAGGAGGAGGAGGCGGAGGAGGAGGCGGAGGAGGAGGAGGAGCAGGAGGAGGAGCGAGGAGCAGGAGGAGGAGGAGGAGGAGGAGGAGGAGGAGGAGGAGGAGGCAAAGGAGGACGAGGAGCAGGAGGAGGAGGAGGCAAAGGAGGACGAGGGCAGGGGAGGAGCAAGAGCAGGAGGAGGAGGAGGAGGAGGAGGGAGGAGCAAGGAGCAGGAGGAGGAGGAGGAGGAGGAGGAGGAGGAGGAGGAGGAGGAGGAGGAGGAGGGGAGGAGGAGGAGGAGGAGGAGGAGAGGATGAGGAGGAGGAGGAGGAGGAGGAGGAGGAGGAGGAGGAGGAGGAGGAGGAGGAGGAGGAGGAGGGGGAGGAAGAGGAGGGCGAGTATGCAGCAGCAGCAGCAGCAGCAGCAGCAGCAGCAGCAGCAGCAGCAGCAGCAGCAGCAGCAGGGCGACGGCAGCGACGGCGGCGCCTCTGCGCGGCGTGCAGGCCGCCGCCGGGCTCCCGCAGCCCGAGCAGAGCGCAGGGCCGCGCCCGCCCGCCCGCGCGCTGGAGCAGGCGCGCCGGGCGGCGGCCGACGTGCCGACGGGCCCTTTGGGCTGACGTCCGCACCTCCGCCGCGGGCGCCGCGGTGGCGCGCGCGGGCGCTCCGCCTCGGTCGGCGCCGTCAGCGTTCGGTCGGGCCTGTCCTCATGCAGGCAGAGGTTGAATGACAAATGACACGTCGTCAGAAAATGCACCTGCAGACGAACTTTTTGATCATTTGTGAATCATCTTCCTGTGTTGATTATGGATTTGTTTTGACTGGTCTGATTTTTTCAAATAATCTTCCTATTTTGATTTTCTCTTTGATTTTGTGCGGTAGTTTCTGTGCCCGACTGAAGGCCAGCGCGTCGTCGAAGAGAGGCGCTGCCGGCCTCCGTGCCGAGGGCGCCGGCGGCCCGGGGGCCGGCCGTGGGCCCCGCGGCGCGGGTGCGCTGGGGCGGTGCTCTGGAGCGCGCGGGCGGGCCTGCTCGCGGGCGCGTGGGCGTGCGCGGCGGCAAGGGCCCCGGCACGGTCGAGGCGGGTGCGGTGCGGGGCGCAAGGCGAGCGGGGGTCAAGGCAAGCGGGGGTCAGCCAGGGCGCCGGATCTTGCAGGATCCTGCAGCGCCAGGGTCGCGTGGACCCAGGCTTGGGTGCAGGATCCTGCAGGAGCCTGCAGGATCCTTCCGCACTGGCCCCGGCTTGGGTGCAGGATCTTGCATGACCGTGTCGCAGGTAAACAACAAGTGGCATGAACAGAACAACGCGGAGGTCCGCGCGGATTTCTTGGATCGGCGCTGGGGCCTCCCGGCGGCGCCTTTGGCGACGATCGGAGAAATCCGCGCGAAGCTCCAAGTTTTTATGTTTATGGCACTTTTTGCTCCCCTATGTCGACCCGCGGCGACCCCGCCGCGTGTGTTCAACGTTGAACGTCGCTGGCGACCCAGAATCGGGCGATGTTTACGCTTCGGGAACGGCCGATCGTTCAAGGTTGAACGGATCCAGGCCCTTTGCGAGTAGTTACCCTGCGAGTAGTGGAAGGCGCTTGTCCGTATTCATTTTGAACAGGACTCGCTGTCGACGTCGCCGCGGTCGTTGCCCGTTTGAGGCAGAAGGCCGCCTGTCCAACAGCGGCTGCTGTCGGTTTGGAACAATGTTTGTTGTTTGGCTTTGCACCCATTTGTTCCGTACCCATCTCGGCCGTCCAAAACGACTGCTTCTCGCTGGATTGCCTCTCCCGAGATTCATTCGGTAGCAAATCATGGGAGCCTCGTGTGTCCTCGCAGTTCCCGTCTTTCGAAGGCACTGGCCTGCGGTGGCGTCTGGTTCCATGATGAGAATCGCCGATTTAGCGTCGAGTTTGCGCCGACTGGCGTCGATGAGCGCCGATTTAGCGTCGATTCGTGTCGATTGGCTTCGGACAGCGTCGATTCGCAAGAGCCAGCACAATGGTATGGGAGGCTGCCATGAGTTGCCACCGAAATTTCAGGGGCAGCGATAGGGGAGATGGGCTCAGGGGCTCGCGTTGTCCGAGGAAGGGTCTGGAATTACGGGGGCAATCGTAGCAAGGAGAGAACGCGTTTCACGGGCGTTTGCCTTGGCAACATTCGGCGGCGCGTTTCAAGCAGAGGGGTGGGCCCCCCCCCCCCAACACTCGGCGCCGTCGATCAAAACCAGGGGGACGCCCCTCCCCCCAAACCCCTCCCCTCCCGAACACCCCCCCCCTCTCCCAAGGAGGGGGGGGGTTCAAAACCCTCCCCCCGGAGGAGGAGGAGGAGGAGGAAGAGGAGGAGGAGGAGGAGGAGGAGGAGGAAGAGGAGGAGGAGGAGGAGGAGGAGCAGGAGGAGGAGGCGGAGGAGGAGGAGGAGGAGGGAGGAGGGAGGAGGAGGAGGGGCAGGAGCAGGAGGAGGAGGAGGAGGAGGAGGAGGAACAGGAGGAGGAGGAGGAGGAGGAGGAGGAAGAGGAGGGGGAATCAGGAGGAGGAGGAGGAGGAGGAGGAGGAGGAGCAGGAGGAGGAGGAGGAGGAGGAGGAGGAGGAGAGCAGCAGGAGGAGGAGGAGGAGGAGGAGGAGGAACATGAGGAGGAGGAGGAGGAGGAGGAGGAGGAGGAGGAGGAGGAGCAGGAGCAGGAGCAGGAGCAGGAGGAACAGGAGGAGGAGGAGGAGGAGGAGGAGGAGGAGAGGAGGAGGAGAGGAACAGGAGGAGGAACAGGAGGAGGAGGAGGAGGAGGAGGAGGAGGGGCAGCAGCAGGAGGAGGAGGAGGAGGAGGAACATGAGCAGGAGGAGGAGGAGGAGGAGGAGGAGGAGCAGGAGGAGCAGGAGGAGCAGGAGGAGGAGGAGGAGGAGGAGGAGGAGGAGCAGGAGGAGCAGTAGCAGGAGGAGGAGGAGCCCCACCTCCTCTTGGAGCGGGTCCTACCCTACCGCCCCCCCCCGCGCCCCAGCTCCATCGAGGGGCGACCGCGCTGCTCTCGCGGGCTCGGGCCCATGGGCTGCCGCCGCTGCCGCGGCCGCCCCCCCAGCGGGGGAGCCTCTGAGGCAGCGCTCTGGCGCCGTGGCGGCCGTCGCGTGCCCGGGGGCCAGGCCCGAGCCTGCATCCGAGCGCGCCCGAGCCTGTTGTCGAGCAGGTCCTCGAGCATCATGGCGCCAACATCGCCGAGCGCTCGGTTGTTTCCTCTACAGCCCGGTGTGGACCGCGAGCGCCTCGAGGTTGTGGAGCTTTTGTCCTCGCGCGGCGGCGCCGGAGACGAGCAGCGGCGAGTGCAGCCCCGCTGTCCTCGGTCCGCGCGGACAGTCTCTGCCGTAGTGGTCGCCATGGGGCCGGCCCCTCTCAGTTGTCATGGCGCCAACATCGCAGAGCGGATTTCGCTCGGAAAATGATAGGATGGGCCCGGAGTGTCTTGGAGAATGTCGTTCCAGATTTCGGGGTGAAGTTCGAGCGGGTTTTTGATTGGCCAGGAACGAAGACTAAAAAACATCCACGTGAAATGCATTCCGTTTTTCCCCCGCCGTTTCGGGGTTTTGTTAGCATCGACAGAATTCCGCGCAAAAATCCGATGCAGCACGTCTGCAAGGTCGGTGCAGTGACAGGCAGATGCCCACCACGTAGCTGGGCGGGAGGCCGACCGAAGGAGGAAGCGGAGCCGCGGACCCTCGCCCTGCTCCTTGGCAGTTCCGCCGCCGTGCCAGCGCAGCATTCTGGGTGGCAGCGGTTCGGGAAGGCAGGGGGGGCCTGCTGGGGGGCCTCTTGAGGCAGCAGGCTCGAAGTCTTGGTTCGTGTTCCTTCTCTTGGGCCCATCTCGGAGCCGTCTTGGGGCCCTGTTGGGCAGCCTTGGGCGCCTCTTGGGCTGTCTTGGAGGCTTCTTGGGCCCGCCGGTCGGGGGCCCTTCCGAGAAAGAGGGCCGCGCCCGTGGCGCCTTCTAGTGGTTGTGCGGTGCGCGGAGCCTTCCTTGGTGTGCTCGGACGTCCTGCACCGTGCTTCTCTCTCTCTCTCTCTCTTTTTTCGGCTGGCCACCGTCTTCGGGCCCACGGGTTTTTGTCAATGAGTGGCATGCCCCTTCCAAGCCCCCTCCCCCGCTCTGCAACGCAGAAATGGCTTCTGACTGACAATATAGCGACAGAGAGTTGTTAATGTATGTCCAACATGGTCAGTCACTTTCTTGTTTGGGGAAAATTATCACGCAACCATGCCATGCCTGGGGTAGTTCGACGGACACAAGGCGGCATAACCATAAGCGTTCCGGAGCTCCGCGCGGATATCTTGGATCTGCGCTGGGCTCCTCTGGCGCTCTCCGCGCGCCAGGGAGGGGGGTCCTGCGCCGATCCAAGAAATCCGCGCGGACCTCCGAACGTAATCAGAGCCCTCGCTTATTCTTCTTCCAGTAATCCGAGTCTCTCTTTTTCTGACTCCGTGACGGGGCTTGGGCACAGCTCTGCGGGAACGGGGTGTTCTCAGGAATGGCGTATATACGATACTCGTGCGTCTTGGCATGTTCAGTACGCGGGTGCACGCGCGTAGATGCTTCATTTCAGTTGGCAGGCTCATTCCTGCACGCCAGCTCTCAGTGAACGTTTCGCGATGTTTCGCGGTTCGATTCTACAATGGTTGTCGAGTCGACATGTTACCTCAACGCAATCAGTGCGTGCGCTGAGGGAAGAGCATTGTCTTTCTCATGGATAAATTTCTTTATCCGTAAGGGCTTCGCCCCCTGCCGCCGGCCCCCTCTCTATCAGAATGGGGTATATCAGAGTCGCGTCGGTGCATCTCGGCGCTGCCTTGGCGCATGTGGGAACATTGCGGGGGCGGGTAGGAATCATCAGCGCATATTGAGACGTTGGCGTTGTTGTAGTGACCTTCGGCCCATCCCGCCACCGTGCCTGGTTTGTGGGTCTGAGGCTTTTTGTATATGTGTTGGGGTGTCGTGGGGAGCCTCTCGGGGGCCTCTTGGGGCCTCGTGGGGTATCTTTTGGGCCTCTTGGAGGCCTCTTGGGCGCCTCTTGGGACCTCTTGGCGGCCTCTTGAGGCCTCCTGGGGGCACAAATATCAAATGTCGGTTCGTGGTTTCCTGCTTGGGCCCCTCTTTGGGACGTCTTAGGGCCCTCGTGGGCCGTCTTGAGCGCTTCTTGGACCATCTTGGAGCCCTCGTGGGCCGTCTTGTGGCCCTCTTGGAGGCGTCTTGGTGTCTTGGGACGGTTTTGGGAGCTTCTTGAGCCGTCTTGGAGGGTCGGAAAGCCGAAATTGCGAGAAGGCCAAGATCCTTCAACTACCTGTTCTGTAAAATTTACGATTTTATCTTCTTGGTGCTTTCTCGGGAGGCCTCTTGGAGCCTCTCTTGGGGCCTCTTTGGGCCCTCTTGGGCCGTCTTGGAAGCATCTTCGAGCGCCTTGGAGCACTCTTGGCTTCGGCAATGCGAATACGGCGTGATTTGCAGTGGTTTATGGCGTCGGGGACGCACATATTGTGTAATTTACAAGGGTGTGTTGCCTCGGGGACGCAAGACTTGTACAATCTACGAGGGTTGTTGGCATCGGGACGAGCACTCTGAGTAATTTACGAGGGATTATGGCCTCGGGGGCGCGAATCTCATGAATTTTTATGTGTCCCACGCCCCCCTGGGAATTCAGATGACGCGATCCGGGCGTGGTAACCGGGTCCTTTGGGGCTCCCCCACGTCGCGCGGACTCCAGTAGGAAGCAGAAAGCAGGACTGTAATATTGGAGACTTGATCTGCAACTGGCGCAGGGAGCTGCAATTTCGCCCTACAGCCTGGTGGCACCACAAGGGGGCCGGCGGATTTGTTTTTCTTTGTTTCTCTCTCCCTCTCTTTCTCTTTCTGTCCCTCTCTATCACAAAATCTGTATGCTTGTCTGCTTCTATCTTCCCCCCCTTCTCTCACAACAGTCGTCCCCAGTTCCCCTGGTGCCACTGCTGCTCCTCGCCGTCGTGTCGGCGTCGCCTGCTCTGAGATTCCCTGGAGGTCATCCCCTAAACCCGCATGAGTGCCCATAGCCTCGTTCTCCTCCTTGCCTGCCCAATCTGAAGTCTGGGTCTGCGGCAAATCTTACCCGCAGGGGATTTTGCAAGTCGTCCCCCACGGCTCCTTAGCGGGCGTGTCGACGTTGACCCCCTCATGCGGATGTCCTGTCCTGTCCTCCTCCTCCTCCTCCTCCTCCTCCTCCTCCTCCTCCTCCTCCCCCGTATCCCCTCCCTCTTAGCCTTGCCCGTGCCCGCGCCGCTTTCACCACTCGGCCTGCCCGCTGCCGCTCGGGCTCGGGCCGGCCTCTGCGAGCACCTGGCTCGCCGGGCTGCCCGCCGACTTGGCGGGCCCGCGGATAGCCACGAGCGAGCGAGATGCGCACGAGCGAGGTACGATGACAAGATTATCCTGGCGAAGTGCCCAACCACACGCAAGCGTGAGACCGCAGGGCAAGCGGGACGAAGCAAGGGGAATTCCCAGTGGGGCCACGAACCGTGCGAGGGATGCGCCAAAATGGCGCGGGGCCGCCATGCGAACCCTGCCACCTGGGGCGTTCGGTGGAGCCCCCCACGGGGCCACGAACCAGATGCGCACTGCCTGAGCCCGAACTGGATAGGCCACGAGCGAGCGAGCTGCGCAGTCAGGCCTGCCGCTGTTGCCTCGTCTCGTCGTTGTGTCGCCGTCGCCCCCGGGCTCTGGTCCTGGAGCGCCTCTGCACGAACTCCGGGGGCGGACCCTTGGCCGCGTTGACGGGGGCCCACTCCCAGGAGGCCCCACGGAGACCCCTTTCCCTGGATGAGGAGGAGGGGGTTGCCGCCGCCGCCGCCGTTGTCGCCGTCGTCGCCGCCGCCGCCGTCGCGGTCGCCGCCGCCGCCGTCGCCGCCGTCGCCGCCGCCGCCGCCATCGCCGTCGTCGTCGCCGTCTCTGTCGCCGCCGTCGCCGCCGCCGCCGGTTGAGGCGTGCCCGCAGCTCGGCCAGGCCGCTCCGGGGGCGGCCGGCGAGGAGCTTCGACGAGGAGGAGGGAGGAGGACGAGGAGGATGGAGGAGGACGAGGATGGGGAAGGAGCAGGACGGTGGAGGAGGAGGGGGAGGGCGAGGAGCATGGAGGAGGGCGCGGAGGATGGAGGAGGACGAGGAGTATAGAGGAGGACGAGGATGGGGAAGAAGCAGGACAGTGGAGGAGGAGGGGGAGGGCGAGGAGGACGCGGAGCATGGAGGAGGGCGCGGAGGATGGAGGAGGACGAGGAGTATAGAGGAGGACGAGGATGGGGAAGGAGCAGGACGGTGGAGGAGGAGGGGGAGGGCGAGGAGGACGCGGAGCATGGAGGAGGGCGCGGAGGATGGAGGAGGACGAGGAGGATGGAGGAGGACGAGGATGGGGGAGGAGCAGACGGTGGAGGAGGAGGGGAGGGCGAGGAGGACGCAGAGCATGGAGGAGGGCGCGGAGGATGGAGGAGGACGAGGATATGGAGGAGGACGAGGATGGGGGAGGAGCAGATGGTGGAGGAGGAGGGGGCCGGCGAGGAGGACGCGGAGCATGGAGGAGGACGTGGAGGATGGAGGAGGACGAGGAGGATGGAGGAGGACGTGGAGGATGGAGGAGGACGAGGAGGAGGAGGAGGAGGAGGAGGAGGAGGAGGAGGAGGAGCAGGTCGGTGGAGGAGGAGGAGGAGGATGCTGATGTTGACGTTGATGTTGATGTTAATGTTGATGTTCATATCGATGTTGATTTTGATGATGATGACGCTGCTGCTGATGATGATGATTCGGATGTTGATCATGATTATCATGATGATGATGATGATGATGATGATGATGATGATGATGATGACGAACATGATGATGTTGCTGATGATCACGATGACGATCACGATGACAACGATAATGATGCTGTGATGATGATGGTGATGCTGCTGCTGATGATTATTGATCATGGTGATAGATGATGATGATGATGATGATGATGATGATGATGATGATGATGATGATGATGATGATGATGATGATGATGATGATGATGATGATGATGATGATGATGGATGATGATGATGATGATGATGATGATGATGATGATGATGATGATGATGATAAGGATGATGATGATGATGAGGAGGAGGATGATGATGATGATGAGGAGGAGGAGGAGGAGGAGGATGAGGATGAGGATGAGGATGCTGATGCTGATGCTGATGCTGATGATGGTGATGTTGATGTTGATGTTGATGTTGATGTTGATGTTGATGTTGATGGTGATGGTGATGGTGATGGTGGTGTTGATGGTGATGGTGATGCTGCTGCTGATGATGATGCTGCTGCTGATGGTAATGATGATAATGAGGATGATGTGGATGCTACTGCTGCTGATGCTGCTGCTGATGATGACGACGACGATGATGA